GAATCCATATAAACGCTATAGATTCTCTCAGATTCACACACTGGCCCAAGACTGGGAAGTCCCTGAGCTTCCAGCAGGACAACTGTATCCTGAAAAAGTATTCCCATAAGTTGACCTTGTTTTCACTTCTTTTTTTCAACCAACCAAAGACACCTGTATCAGTGCTTGTATTAAAATTCTATCTACTCAAATGGGAAAATAACCCCCAAAATTTTGGAATGAAAACCTCCTTTCTAAATTCAAAAAGATCAAAGCAAACCACAGCTCACTATTTCTGTTTCATATACTTACTGCATCCGAAAAGCAGCTGTAATCCAAGAACAAAACCCCTATTAAAAAATTTAAAGAAAAAGAAGTTTTTAGGAGCTGACATACAAAAAATAGAGTCTAATCCATCCAATTAAGACAAGTCTTTCTATTAATACAATCTCTTAGCTAAAAACCTGGTAGCTTGTTGCTCTGAAATACAAGGGACTAATAAAAGTTAATCAGTTAAATGCTTGTTAAAAACACTGCTGGGATTATATTAAAAGAAAGGCTTTTTATATAGGTTTACAAATCCCCCAGTGAAACTGGATAGCAGAATTCACATCTCACTGAGCACCCCACTATAGTTCAAGAAAAACCCCTTCTCTCTCCAAAGGGCTCCTCTTTCAAGTGAACGTTATCCAACTAAATAGACACGTGTTACCCAACAGCTAAAGTTGCTTTAGGGTTTTAAAAAGATGAAGTAAAATGCACAAATAGCAGAGCAATCCTGGTCAACCACCAGTACGCTTTTGATGCTCACACAAATAATCTCTTTCAAGTGAACGTTATCCAACTAAATAGACACGTGTTACCCAACAGCTAAAGTTGCTTTAGGGTTTTAAAAAGATGAAGTACAGTGCACAAATAGCAGAGCAATCCTGATCAAACACTTTTGATGCCCACACAAATAATTAATTGCAAGGCTAGATATTAAGCTGATGCATGTATATATAAAATATTGAAAACTTAGGATGTCACCACTGGACAACTCTTGCATGGCTCATTCTGAAGTTGCAACACAAAATTATAGGGGTGTACCAATTCAACAACTTCAGAAAGACCATGGAGGGGGCAGTTATTGGCCAAAATGTTACCCTCCAATTCAAACCATTTTGATTACTGAGAGTGCATAACATTATTATTAGCCTCACACTTGCATCCAGTTTTCTCAACACTGAGGAAAACAATGTACTGTAAAGAACAACAAGGTATTACTGTCAAGGTGAACTCAATGTAACTTTTTGAACTGTTATCCCAGTACAAATTATCTACTAGTCTTTTTTTCACTCTCCTCCCCCTTTGAAACACTAACATATAATACCTCTCTAAATAAATAAATAAATAAATAAAAATAATAAAAAAAACCACACAAAAACAAGCCAGACTTGGACACAATGACACAAGATACTGGTTTTATGATATGGCAATAGTTTGTCAGGAAACAGAGATTATGCATGGTTCTATAAAAACACAGTTAATGCATTATTAATTTTTACATGGAGATGAACTTCCAGTTTAATGATGGTTCATTGAACTATATGGAATGGCAAATAACAGCAGATTCCATTCAGAAAGCATATTGAGAAGTACAGAGTACTTACCTTATCATATTCAAGATCTTCAGGTACTGATGATGATGTTGACAGCCGGTTATATCTTGATTCACTAAAACACATTAAAGGATGCATTTAAGTATCTTCAACAACAGATGATGGAGTTTACAGAATTACTTCAACCTTAACAATTCTCAGGGCTGTAGAACAAACACACTGTTTCACTTATGAAAGCTGTGGTTTTCACCCTGTAGCACATGCCTGCTTACAGTAACTTGTGTATGCTTCCTGTTGAACACAGAGCACATGCAGCTCCTGACATGAGAGCACATAACTGAACTTGAAAGAAAATAACATTTTATCAGGATATTAAAGCCACAGTGATGTAACAGAATGAAACACAGGTTTGGGAGCCTAGCCAGGATCAGATTTGCAAGCTGGCTTCTTGTTTGGATATTCCTCACTACAAGACACCACTTTTTTCCCCTCCACTTTTCTTCCTTTATACTACAGGCACTGCTCACAATTTCTCTTCACAACTAAATCCCTGCAAAGCCATCCTCCTCACATAAACTGTCCTGTAGCAAGGCTAGAAACATCAGAAACTCTGTAGCCCTCAAAAGCAGCAGAGTGCCTGTTTTCAGTTTGCTGCTAAAAAGAAATGTTGCAATGGTAATTACAGGAGGACACCTGTTAGAATGGAGTGTGTTCCTGGGTGTCTGTAATTTTGGCCAGCAGGCTCAGCTCACAGTCCCCCAGGACAAAAACACAGGCTCCTGGTGTCTGACTGCTCCAGCCTGTTGGTCCCACGCCTCCACAGCCCAGTACCAGAGCACCTTCATGACTACTGCCTCAGCCAGCCGGATTAAAGCCTTCTCAGTTATTGCTCATTTTATTTTACATCACCTATGTTTCACAACTGTCCATAGATTACACCTAAAACCAGGGTTTGAGTTCTTTCCAGTTGCTCAGTTGTGAATTTACCACAATTTCATTGCACCAGGAAGAGGCTCACTGTTAAAGTTTCCCCACCTCACACACACAGAGCTTAGATTCTAAACACCCCAACATATCATCCTACATTTAAAAAAAATCAAACACTCACTTGAAATATTACTACAAATCAGTGAAGAATTTCAGAAACCTGCAAAAGTAAGTTTTTCTTTTTGAACCCTTGGTAGATTCTGTGGCACAGGCTGTGCAGGGAGCTCTGGGAATACACTGGGCTTGAGCCAAGATAAACAGAATGGTTAATATCCCTCTGTACAGAAGCACACTGCAAACATCAGCATGCAGCATGGCAGCAGACAAGCAGCCTATTTCCTTCCCTCCACTTCCTTAACTCACAGCTGTAGGATGAAATCCATGGCCATGGAAACACAGGACTTATGGCTGAAACCCTGGACAGTGACTCTCTGAGGGGGGAGTATTTCACACAAAGCAGTGTGAGGGCATTTTTAACAAGCACGTGCAAGTGATTACAAGCATATCTAATTGATATAAATGCACCTAATATAAGCCTCATTTACTGTACTTTCCTCCCCACTCCCCAAATGATTCAACAGGCCAGTCTGATTACATATCTTTTTTACCTTTCAACTTCTGACACCAGAGCAACACGACCATAGTCCCAGAATCTCTTTCTTATAATGGAAAACAGTAATATTAAAATCTAGAAAATAAAAATGAAGATATTAAAATGTTTATTCTTCCCATTTCAAAATAATCATTCTTAGGTGTGTAAGAACTAACCAAAAATGCTGTCCTGGCTCCTAAATCAATTATCATATGCAGGCAGCTGAGTGGTGGCCATGCTACAGACCAAAACTACCTATCTCTGATCAGGGCAATGTATTTTTAATTTGCCCTCTGTATTTTCTCTTTTTAAAAGAGACAAAGAAAACAAGCAAAAAGCCCCATTACTGAGTATTTCATAGCTTAATTTCTTTTTTTAAATTTTATTTAAACAAGTTGCTGTACAGAAAGCAATGAAGTGACAAGGCCTGTTTTCTATGCATATGTAGCATACACCCTCACCTTCTGGTTCCTCCTCCATCCCATACCTGTTTGGCTGGAAAGTGGTGTTAGTGATGGAACTTACTGGGATCAAATACTGACTGGCCAGCCAGGAGACATGTCCACATTATCTCTGTGTCAAGATTACACAGCTCATTTCCACATTTCACAATTAATATAACTTTCTTATGAGAGCTTTCTTCCTAACAGGGAGGATTAATTTAGATCTTCCTCCTTCAGCTGGTCATTAAACTAGGTGCAAGCAGGAAAGTTCTTTAGATTCTTCACAACTCTGGTTGAAATTGGCTGTAATATTCTACAGTTATTAGGCAGGACTGCCACATAAAAACAGGAAGACAATGGAATATATAAACCTCACTTCCTTTGGAAACTATCCTAGAAATAATATATCAGAAATCCATCAATTGACAGCTGCTAAAAGGATAAGCAGTAAAAATGTCATGGAAATAAGAGTACAGGAGTTGACAGATAATTTTCAGTATTTGGTACTTGAAGAAGAGAGGAGCCTTCTGCACTGCACCTAGCTCTCTACCTAACCCTGCCTGAGTGCAGAGTTCAACAGCAAGGAACTCAAAAGTAGATTCAGTGTCTTAAAACTGAGCCACAGCTTAAAAAAAAAGGCAAACACTTCAACTAAATCTTATTAAATGCTGTGCCATTGGTGACACAGAGCTGTAAATACTGTACATCCTCAGAAAATGGATTTATGGTAGCATACACCAAATCAACAGCAAAGAATGCCACTATATAACTTAGAGGAATATCCTCTACATTCCTACAGAATGACCAGCTCAGAGCACAAGTACTTTAAGTTTCTATACAGCAGATTTGTAGAACTCAGAAACTGTTATCCTTTTTGTCTATTTTACTACCACAGCCCCTCTTCTCAGGCCAATTTGCAGGTCTGCAGCACTGTTTCTGGTGGCTGAAGACCACCTAGACCAAGCTCATTCCTTATTCTGAACATTCTCAGAAACCAAATTCCAACCCAATAAATAAGAGAATTTGGAACAATCTCACTTTTGAGAAGGCCAGAAATACTTTCAATACAAGAAATAGAAAACTGGGCTTACAAAAAAGAAGGTAACATCAAGCAGCAGGACAGTTGGGATTCCACCAAAAGTTACTCCTTGGAGCACTGTGCTGCCCTGGGCAGTGCTGTAGCAGTAAGTTTCATTTGTTCTGTTGAAAGGATCACTCCTGTTCCCGAAGAAGCCTACATGAGAATGTCCAAAACCCAGAAAATAGAAAGGGTTCATTTTTTCTATCCCTTTAAAAGACAAAAAAAAAAAAAAAAAGAAAAGGTGAAACAAACTTGTGAAAAGCCTGGTTGGTATTTGTGAGACATACTAATATTACAAGCATAAAAAGTGCAGGAAGATGCAACCAGAAAACTATTTTGGAAAAGAAGGTGCCTTTGGCAATCTCTTCCCTTCACATGTGAAATGTTTTGCAATAACTGGCAGGTTCAGCTACCAGCAGTGCCCAGACAAGAATTCCAGACATCTAGTGAGCCACATTCTCTACAGAGATCTGAGGATAACTGCAGAATATCCCTCCCAAAAAACCCTTCCCTATCACTGAATCTATAACATCTAACTACATATTCCAGCCTGGACTGTGATTCTAGGAATCACAAAGGACATTACATATTCCAATAACAGCAGTTTGAAAATTTTGTTCCTAGCTGATGAGCATGTGTGAATGCACCAGCTTGTGAACTTTGCATTTAAATGTCAAAACCTTGAGATCATTAACAAACTCACCACTAATTCCACAGAAAAGAACCACTACACAAAGACACATGTTCCTTTCTGTTCTTGGAATACTGGGTGATTTTCCTTTTTCAAAATAATTCAACTGAAAGGCCAGCACAGCTGGCCAGTTATCACAAACAAGAAAGAACAAAGAGCATTTCTCAGAGAACAGACATCTTTTAGTCAACTGACCTGATCAGATAACGTAGTACCATACAAGAATGCACGAGATTTGGCTATTGATACAAAGTTCTTTTTATCAGTGCAGGCAATTGCTCGTTTATTTTGGGGCTTTCCACTTCAAACATTTCCTTTCTTGGATCTCATTTACTTGCTGATTCCCAAGTAATGCTTCATGCAGAACACACTTCTGACTGATAAACTCACAGAGAAACCACTCCCCGAAAAAACTCAATCCTTCAAAAGCAAATATTCTAGGTCCTCATCACACAGGTCCAGGGACATTACTTTTGGGGTGTTTTGCCTCTAACAGGAATGCACATGTTTTTGACGACAGCACTATTCTGGATGCTGAAAACAAAACAAACAACAAAAAATACAAATAACTACATATTCTCCTTTTAATCAGCGGGAAAACAGCACGGAGAATACTCCTCCCAAAACAGCATTTGCTAAGTGTTGGGCAGCGCGACGCGGTGAGGAAGAAATTTTGTCTCAGCTGATGTGTTTCATCATGGGGAAAAAAAAAAAAAAAGGAAAAGAAAACCAATAACGCCCACAAAAGTTGTGCCGTGACTCTATCCTTCCTTTCTACGGACTGAAATTTAGCACTGACGGAAAAGAAAGCATTTTGGAAGAGCCTTCAGGAATCTTCAGCACAAACCTCCCCGCTAAACTCTAAGCAGCACACTGGGGTTTATCGGACACTGCTTCCAACTCTCGAAAGCTGCTCTTTATTAAACAAGCCGGCTGCCAGGCAGATAAAGGGCAGGGGAAGCCCTCCCCCGGGTGGGGCTGCGCCGCAGGAGCCCAGGGAGCAGCGCACAGCTCCAGGAACGGGAGCCGGGTCCCGTGAGGCGCTGGGAGCCCCCGCGCTCCCGGCTCCGGCCGGGACGTGGAGCCGCGGCGGGCGGGACCGGCTCCCTCAGGAGCACACTGGGAAGCGCCGGGCTCGCCCCTGGAGCAGGGAGCGGGTCCCTCCGCTCCGGAGCGGGGTGGGCTGGCTCAGCTCCCCGCGGGAAGGGGGCTCAGCTCCCCGCGGGGAGGGGACGCTGCTCCCGGCGCTGCCCGCCCCGACCCCGCTGAGGGAGGGTCCCGCTGAGGGGGGGCCGCGCTCACCTCGCCCGCTCCCCTCCCCGCGGCCCCCACACGGCGCCGCTCCCGCCCTCCCTTACCTGCGCCGAGGCGGCCTCTCCTACCCCCGCCCTTCCCTTCCCTGCCTTTCCCTTCCCTGCCCTCCCGCCCCGTCACCTCACGGACGGTCCCGGTCCCCCGGCCCGGCCCCGGAGTTACCAGCGCCGGCAACAAGTCCCGGCGTCTTCTGCGCATGCGCGCGCGGCCCGCTGTCAGCGCTCCCCCGCCCCCGGAGTGCGCTCCCCTCACAGGCCGCTCCGGCCGGGACAGGGCCACCCCCGCCGGGACAGGGCCATTCCCGCCGGGAGAATGCCATCCCCGCCGGGAAAATGCCACTCCGGTCGGGACAGGGCCACTCAGACCGGGAGAATGCCATCCCCGCCGGGAGAGTGCGGCCCCCGCGCCTCCCTCAGGCAGCGGACCCTCAGATAAGCGAGGGAAAGCTGCTGCTGTTCAGCCTGGAGAAAAATGCTCCGGGGAGGCCTTATAGCGCCTACCGGTGTCTAAAAGCAGAACCGAACAGAGCGTTTTATAGCACAGGAAAAAAATAAACTATACCCAAGAAATGTGAGATGTGATTTGCAGAGAGAATTCGCAGTTTCAGGTCTGGTGAAGTGGGCAAGCACACAGGTGGAAGTGGAGCAGCCATACAGTGAGATCACAGAATCGTGGAATAGAGTGGTTTGGAAGGGACCTGAAATATCCATTTCCAACCCCCACCATGGGCAGGGACACCTTTCACCAGACCGGATTGTTCAGAGCTCCATCCAGCCTGGCCTTGAACACTTCTAGGAATGGGACATCCTTGCTTCTCTGGGCAATCTCTGCCAGTGCCTCACCACCCTCAGAGTGAAGAATTTTTTCCTGTTACCTAACCTAAACCTACCCTCTTTCATTTGAATCCATTCCCCTTTGTCCTATCACTACATGTCCTTGTGGAAGTCCTTCTATGCTCGTGCAGAAGGCTCCTCTCCAGCTTTCCTGCAGCCCCCCTCAGGTACTGGAAGGTGCTCTAAGGTCTCCCAGGAGCTTTTCTCCAGGCTGAACAGCCCCAGCTCTCTCCTCCTGACTTTGTAGGAGACATGCTGCAGCCCTTTGAGCATCTCCATGGTCTCCTCTGGACTAACTCCAACGGGTCCCCATCTTTCTTGTGCTGGGGGCCCAGAGCCAGACTCAGCACTCAGCTTGGGGTCTCACTAGGGCAGAGTAGAGGGGGAGAATCACCCTCATTGACCTGCTGGCTAAACCCCTTTTGACAGGTAGCTCTGAAATAAATTAACAAATTAATGGTGGTAGCATGAACGTTCCATGAAATATGAACAGCCCCTTGTCTCCACACACAACTCATATGCTGTGAATTGGAAAAAAACCCAAGACTAGGGAGTTTAGGTTAATGAGTCTGTGACAGAGCTGGGGTAAGACCAATTCCCAGATATCCACAAGAACATCCTATCCTTTAAGGGGTTAATTACTTCCAGACAACAGGCCAGAAACACTGTACAGCAGGTTTTCTTCCATCTCTTCTCTACAATTTATTGTAGTGTTCCCTCCACAGCCATTTGATACCCAGCATTGCCAACCATCCTCATCCTCCTGTGCCTTCATCCTTTGCTCCTGACTGGCAGGACTGTCCTCAGTGAGCAGCAGGCATATGAGGAAGAAGAAGGTTATGGTAATGATGAAAATGTGGCTGTTCAGAGGGAACCAGGGACCACTTGCCTTCAAAGGTTTGCACCCCTGCCTGCAGTCTCATGGATGAGGCAGCAGTGAGGTCTTAGAACAGCAGCCCACTCTAAAACTGACCAAAAATAATTAGGGCATTGCAAAGTTTAGTCTGATGTTACACTGATCAAAACCTTGGTTATCTGCTGACTTTTATGTTTAAAAGGAATTAATGTCCCAGCTGCCAAGAAGCCAGTATCTGCTCCATCTGACAGTCCTGATCCTGCCTCTCCATCTTTAATTCCTTGTATTCCCACGTATTCAGACTCCATGGAATACTGAGGGCCCTGCATGCGCAGCTGCTGTCCTGCTCCCTGCCACTTTATTCATCCACAATTGTTTTACTCTGCCAGATCCTTGTTTCCCTTCTCAGGAGTGCCTGCATCTGGCTGTACGTGTGCTATCTGCCTTCTCCCACTTCATTCCGCAAAAAGGTCAAAGTCCTGGTTACCTGCAGTCACTGAGAGACATTTCAAGACAGAATTTCATCACTTACCTAGCAGATGCATTGTAGATAATCTGTGATTTGAAATTCACTGTAATAATTATGCTAGTTGGAAAATGACATAAAAGTTCTCAGCTCAGAGTGGTTCAGATTCACTGCTGGAATAAAGAAATCCCACTGTTGTTGAAGGATGTTAGTTTTACCTTTGAACACTCTCTCTCCTCTCTAGGGCTGTGTTGGTGGGAATGTTGTTTGGCATGAGTGTTGTAGAGTTATTGTTCCATCCTGTCTTTTCTGGAACAACTCTTCCTGTGGACAACTTATTTCAAAAGAGGATTTCACAGTGGAATAATCGTAATTACTTTCTTTTAAATTAAGTAGATCTACCATGTAGGTGAAGCATCAGTGTATGCTTGCAGCTCTTCCACTTCTAGGGCCAAAATCTGCATGAGTGGTTTTCTCACTGTTTCCTAAGCTGTTTGTACTCTTGATTCTTGCCTGGTTTTTCGACATTAGGAAGGCTTTGCTCTGATTAGATTATCTTACTCTGTAGTGCAAAATAGGTAATATTGAGTGATCTCAGCATTTTAGTCTTGACATTCTTCAGTGTGATGACTTTTGCTTAGCTACAAAATAATTTTTCCCTCTCTCTTTCTCACAAGAATAACATCAAGCTTTTGTCATTTGTTTTTGTTCTTCCTCTGTCTAGACAGGCTCTTTAGCTAAGTGGTGTGATTTTGTTTATCTCTAATTTCAACAGCAGAGTCACATTTCCCTCCTCCCTACCTCTTGTAAATAGGGTTTTGTTTACCACTGTCTGTTCTTTTGGTGACAAAAGCCACATACTGTCATTAGTTCACAAACGTTTAATTATGTTGCTAGAGCAGATGGAAAACCACCCTTAGGACCTAGGGAGCAGGTCAAGAGCCTCTGAAATCCTCCCATCTTTCTTTTATTTTGCATCCTCCATATCCACTTCAACAGCTCCTTAGCACCAGGTCGAACAAGTGTGCAGGGTATTTACACGTCCACGTGTGACTCTTCCCTTGCTTTATTAAATGACCTTATGGCTGGAGAACTCCCTTGTCACTTTAGTTTGATTTATCCCAGCAGGCTGTCCCTTGATGGGTGAATTCCCAAGAGGACTTCAATAGTCTCTGGAGGTGAGTAGCAGGTGGCCTGAGCTTTGCCATGCATGGCAACTCTCACCGTGGTTTCTTCTCTCTGAAGGAACTCATCAGCCCAGCTTGCTGTTCCCTACTTATCTGCCTATTCAAATACACCTTAATGGATTTAATTCAGGCTTCCAGCCTGGCAGCCCTTTGCTATCTTTTAATCTTTGCCTTCATCTGGCAACCTGTTTATGAGCTTCAATACACCACAGGATGAAATGTGGGCATTATGGGATTTTCCTTTGAAAGGTCTGAGCATTAAAATGTTTGTAATATAAACAAACAAGTAGAAAAATCTGGACAGGTACACGGACTTAAATGTCATAATTTAGATTTAATTGACAATTTACCCTTATTTAATTGACAATTTACCCTTATTTTTCCCTATTCTTTTTAATTGTTTTTGGCATGCTGCTTCTCATTCGTAAGTAATATGTTGACTTTCAAGGTAGAAATTGCCTTGTATTAAAGTTGGAATGTATTTTTGTTAATCAATACAACAGATTATTATACAACGTATTTAACTAAATATATCTGGTGATATATGATAGAAATTTGCTTTTTTTTACATTTTATGTCAGATAGGAAATGGTGAATGTAGCATTGGTATTGATGCTTGAGCATGATTCATTTTTCTTGTCATCTTCATCAAGTTATACTTGGATGAAAACTGGAGTTTTATTAAAACACACAGGAAACTGCAGTCTAAAATAGCAATGCTGAAAAGTATGGGAGGAAAAAGTAGGCTTATTGCAACATACTTTGCATAAACTTGATTTATGAAGTAGTGAATCCATGTGCTTCCTCATCACTCACCTCTGGGCAGGGTGAGGTTTTAAACCTTGGTTTCTTTGGAGTAGTTGCAGGTGTGGAAAATCCCTTGCTGATATATAGGATTGTGAGGTTTATTGTTAGCCTGTGACAACGCAACCACTGTTGGTGTGACACACCTTGGTACAAAACTAGGGCAGGGTGGCCTGCAATGTGGGTGACTTCATTGTTTCTTGAATGTACAAATTATCTTAATGCTTATCTGTGCATTAACCCCATGTGTATGGAACATGAAGGGACTTAATGCATAGGTGGCACAGCACTAACTATAATTAGGGCAGCTCCCTGAGGGAGAGAGGGAGATGGAGAAACCATCTGGCACAGTCTGGTTTGTCCCACTGCAGAGGAGAGCGCCTGGCCACATGGGCCATTGGATTTGTCAGGCACCAGGTATGTTTGTTACCAGTATGAAATATCAAACCACTGAGCTTGTAAAGCTTTCCCATTCCCAGGTACAGCTCACATTGGTTTTCCTGAACAACTCCAGTGTCCTCAAGAGCCTCTGTACTCCTCAGGTGTCTTCACTGAACACAGTGACTCCGGTTGCAACAGTACTGAGACGAGCCCTGGAGAGATTTTAGCATCCTTGCCTCAGGTTCTGCTTTCCCTGGAGCACAGAGATGAGTGGTTGTTTGTGCAGGAGACACAAAATGCTCTAGGAGATCATGCAGTCTAAACCAGTGGTGAGTCAATTCAGCTGGGTTTGATGCAGCTTTGGATTGAGAGTAAATTTTTGTGAAGCAAGCTCTGAAATCCTGGTTTCAATCCAAATAGGTCAGAAGAGGAACACTAGTTTTTCCCTTTTTATTTTTTTTCTTTCCAAACACCACTCAGTTTGACAGCTTTGAAGAAACTACTCACAGTTGATCTGCTGTATCCACCCTCCATCTGCAGAGAGTCCAGTGAGATTCCCAGCTTTTAGATGTAAGAACCCTGTTCCAAGGCATTGGCAACAACACTTCCTGGTTTACTGGCTTGGTTTCCCTTAAAATGTCAGCATCAAACATGCTGCTTGATAATTTATAAATTTATAGATGAAATAGTTTTTTAAAGTACTTCCATAATGAGCAGTCTTTTTTTTTTTTTTTCTGCTGGGCAAGAATTCCCCCTTCCCACGTGTGGATTTACAGATGAAAAGAATTCAGTGTCCAAACTGTGAGGATTTCAAAGAGCTGGCAAGCTCTGAGTTCAATTTCCACAGCAGCAGCGCCTTGGCTCCTTTGCAGACAGAGCAGGGGAGCACGGGGGGACACTAATGACAGCAGGATGATCCTGGTGAGCCCAAGCAGGGGGTCAGGTGCCAGGGATGCAAGGGGCAAGTGGCTGGGCTGACTTGGTGTCAGGATGCAAAGTGGCTTAGGCAGGAAGATGTGAAGAGCTG